GTAGGTATACATGTTTCCCAGGTGTAATTGTAATGGTAAAAACACAAAACAACACCCTTCCGCATGCTTTCACCCAAAATGTTACCGAATTTCCCTATGGAAGTAGCTATTACTGTTTGGGGCACAATGAGACTTAGACCGGGGACCGATATACTTTTTTATTTTGATGTCCCTAGAGATCAAAAACACTATTCATCAAATTTATATAAACTAGAGAACCCGTGCGGCTCAATGAGCCGCATAGTATGAAACATAACGCCGAGGAAAACGATATGCTTAAATTCGAGTAATTCTAGTTACATCTTAGAGTTGTTTAAACACTTATTAGAAACTAATTATAAATATCTCTATTTGCGTCGTCAAGGTTCACCAACATAATTTCTGCTCTCAACTGAGTTAAACTTAACTGATAACTTCAAATGAATGCTAAACGATCTACTTCAATTAGAGCTAACATGTTGGAACAAAGTTTTTCCAGCATTGAGAATTGAAGAAAACTGTTGCCTAGACATCCCCCTAATCAAACTAATTTTCTCCGTAGAGAATTCTGAAAAGTGAAGTGATATCAACCATTTAAGTGCTCCATTTTTTACCCACAAACTCTGGGTTATCAACTGGAAAGCCATAATCTGCTTTGATTAGGCTAAAGCAGCGACACCATTGAAAGTTGGTTACCGTATTTTAAAGTGTTGTCTGTCAGTCACGGTAGGCTATATGCCCCGCATCAGAACGTTCTCACGTTGTTCAGTGGGGTTTCTCTTAATAGGCCTACCTGTCCCAAAGTTTTGAAAGTATGAATTCATTTGTTGAAATAGGTTGGATAACTCTTGTAGCTATAAGATTTGCATAGCAATTTTAATTTTCTCTTTTTGAACAGCGTATATTATTTGCCTCTCCTGGATCATAAAAATAAACTCGACTGTAACTACTCGATCGTTGAATACATAAACACTAATTCCTTCACTTATGTCTAATATTGTCACTAAAATTTTCAATAGCAAATGAGTTTTTGAAACGTCTTATTTTTTACTTGAAACGTCTGGATTATGTTGGTGAATTAAGTCAAAAAACGTTGTATAAGTTTGTCAGAGGAACTGGAAACATAACCTAGAAGTAAACAACCCATTTGTACTTTTCCTCAATTGAAGTAGAGCGAGTAATACAAAAGTTTACAATAAAAACATAAGGTCCGCCAAGATTTGGTATAATCTTACTACTTGAACTTATCATAGTCAAGGCAATATTATGGTTTCCACTAAATAATTTGAAATATCTCGATCTGTCAAAAATTTCTTGCATACATTCATTTTAAGATCTGACATTAGGCAAGTTTATTTTACCACCGTGACAACACTATGTGCTTCGTATATTTTTTCTCTTCCAAAGTAAGTTGCATAGCAGAACTGGCCAATATTATTCATCTCACCAAGTAAATGTGTATCTGGATGGATACCCATCTGTTAGACCAGGCCTCTATTTCTCTACTCTCCTTATACGCATAAGATACCTTATAATAATAATAAGGTATCTTATGCGTATTGTCTCCTCCTCCCATTTTCTATATTTCTTCTTTGAACTTCAGGCATTTTCCGATCTTTCAACAAAACTGAAGATATATTTCCATACGACTTGGGAATGTATTTAAAATGTATTTACTTTAAACTAAGCTATTCACACTTTACTAAAAACACTATATTGGGAGGGTAATTGTAGCAGCAACCCTAGGTACTTATAAAAACACCTAAAACCCTTGTGTTATTTTAAAATAAAACAGACTTAACTGAAACTCCAGTCAGGTAATTAGAAATTTGCTTAGTCTGCAGGTTTGCTGCGGCGGGGGTATTTTCTATTTTTATGCGCTATTTTGATTCTTTATTATTATGGCAAAAGCTATATGTAAAGTGGTTTTTACTCTGATTCATCAACGGAAATTTTTTTTATACTATGGTGTTTTTGGTATCAACTTACCTGTACTAATTGGGAAAATTATCGAATATAAGAGGTAATCAAGACAAAAACTCTTTATATGGAGGTTATATCGTCTGACTCTTATCTTTATTCGATTCTGCATCAAAAATAACCCAAAAACATGTGTCACGTGCCTTTATTTCGTCAATTTGGAATTTTCGGTTTTTCAAAGTGATAATTCTCCCCCCCCCCCGAAAAACACCCTTCCACCTAAAATTTGTATATGGACTCTTTAGATTCTTATTTCTTATGACAAAAGAAAAATGTTCACCAAGTTTTATCAACGGACCAATTTTTTTGTTATTACATGCCTATTTTACCTGTACTAATTAAACACTACAATTACGTGACAAATTAAATGTTATGAAATTTAAAACAAAAGTTTTGAATAAATTTTCAACATATGTTTTGAAATAAAAACAAAATAGAACTTTTCTAACTAATCTTGCATCGTTGATTATTTAGTCAATGGGGCTATTTCATGTTAAACATTCCTTGAGCACAACAATAACCTACTAATGTGAAGAAATGTAATCAAAGTAAAATAATTTTGTAAACTTCGTGAACATATGTTTAAAAAAACCAAAGCTTAAATGTTTCAGCCATTCTACTTCCATTTACTTTGATTTTAACCATCTCCCACGATTCTGCTAAATTTAATGCGCTTGGCTAATTTACATACAAATACACAAATTTGCAAATTGCACAGTAAAATTAATTTCAACATTCTAAGACATAACGACAAAAGTCTCAATTGTAGGTAACGTCATCCCTGGTTTTATATAGTACAGTATACAGTACATTGCAGAATTTACTGGCAAATGAGTTAAATCCAAATGTTATATTGCTTACTGGCTTAAAATCACGATCAGCTGTATTGAGGTAAACAAAAATCAACAGACAAATGGCTTCTAATGCTATTCTTATGGAGAACATTTTACGTTATATTATTGACTAAGTCAAAGGTTATATCTAATTTTGTGTTAAAATTTGGGGAATTTCACTATTTATCCTTTAATTTGAACCCTCTCCCGTCGTTCTACGACTACCCAGTCGCCCACAATTTTGACGCAAAGAATCGGCTTTCGTAATTAATATATAGATAGATATTTAATTTCCACAAAGTCAGTTAATGTAACCAATGCGTTTCGTTGAATTGAAAAACAAAGAACACAATTACATTAAACAGCTGATGTAAACAATATTATGTTCTTCGTAAGGATAACATGGGAACTTAAAAAGCCACTGTGGCAGAGGCCAAGAGACTTTTTCAAAAATTTTAGGCCAGTTTGCAAATCTACGCAACACGCTCTTTCCAATGAGACGTCAGTGGATAAAATCGGTTAAGAAATGGTGGAGGATTCAACCGACAAACTTCGTGTTCGCGTATTAATTATATAGATTTCATAATGTGCATGAAATGTTGGTGTGAAACCAACTTGTATAAAATTTAAGCTAAATGGTTTAAGTTACCTGGCTTCGTCAAGTGATCCTTCTTCAGTATTACACTACTATAGTTTCGGACTTGAAAATAAGTCCATCTTCAGAAAACGTCAATAGGTCATCTAACCAAATTGGTTAGATGACCTATTGACGTTTTTGTTAACCTGAAGATGGACTTCCAGAGGCTACCTCACCATGTATACCTTTGAAGTAGAGACTATATTTATTCCCAAAAGGTATCAAACGCCAGCTCCTGATCAAATCTTTTCTATCACTTTAAAGTTTGTTTCGTGTTTTTAGTCTTCACGTACAGAGACTTAAATCTTTGTATTAAATTGTTAGCAATCATAAATCGTGGACAGAATCTTCCACAAAAGATAAATCCAATATAGTTTAACACCCTAGAACTCCTAAAAAAAAATATGTTTTGTTAAGGCTTCGTCATAATGTTAAAAATACTCAATACAACAAATTCATTAATTTTACATATGTAAACGTTGATAGTTGTGTGCGTATTGTATTTTAATATATCTTCTGTATACATCTAGTCCTCTATATTTTCTGTGTACACAAATGCTTCTGTATACACTTTTTTGCAACTCACAGTAACTGAGAAATATTCTAAACTGGTGAACTGTTTTTATAAATTTTTGCCATTATTTCTCAACCCGTGCTTAAAAAATTAGTGACTTGTGGATAAATCCAGATACAAAATTTAATCTAAATCGGACCACAGGTTTTGTCTGTAGCTCTGTATCTGGATCATACAAGTGTGTATTATATAACCTGATATTAGTCAAAATATGTTTTATTCTATGACGTTTAATTTAATTAAACATAAAAGTCATGCTCCCTCCATTTTTAAAGTATTCAGTCCAAAAATGTAATAAATTTACTTGTGCATACATATTTATTTCGTTTTAATAAATAATTGAGGTGATGCAATACACTTATGTAGGCAGTCGCAGCAGTCGAAGCCGGGCATAGCGCCTAGAGTTTCACGAATGCAAACCGCGCAACGAGTAGCTAAATGAGCCGTAGAGTAAGTGAGCCATCTAATATTTTGAAGAGGGTTCACTTACTCTACGGATCATTGTGCCAATGATCTGTAGTGTAAGTGAGCCATCTAATATTTTTCTGCAGGCTCGTATAGTATACGAGCCTATTCCTATAATTTATATTATTCATTATTTTGGCTCGTATACTATACGAGCCGATTCCTGAATTATCAAATAATTCGTAAGCTTGGCTCATAGTCACTATGATCTGTAGAGTAAGCGAACCTTCCTACTGTATTTTTAAATATAATACACGAGGCTCATAGGCACAATGATTTGTAGAGTAAGTGAACCCTCTTCATTTACTTTTTATTTTCGATAGGCTCGTATAGTATACGAGCCTGTAGTGCAAGTGAACCTTCAATATTATTTAAAAAGCTCGTATAGTCTATGATCTGTAGAGTAAGTGAGCTGTCCCCATTCTCAAAGGTGGCCGTGGATTCAGCGCTACCTCCAGTCCAGTCTAGTCCAGTTGCCAGTTGTTTGTTTACACTCAAGCTGCTCTAGCCTAGCTCAGTGGTGTGTGGTGTCAGCTGGAGGATGACGGATGACATAGATATAGATTGAGGTTATCTTCAGTGTTATGGTTGATAATATGAATAAACTGAACACTTAAGTTTAAGTCTCTGTATCATTAATAGGATAACTTAACTTACTGTGCAGTTGTACAAAGATGATAGGCAATTAATGGAAAATTGTAATAGGCCAAACACATTAAATAAATTATGGTAGAGTATTAGAAATTACAGTAGGCCTATAATCTTTTTATTTTGCTAATGGAGTACTGAGTTGAAAGATTATCCTACTGCAAATTGCAGAATGAATGAGGTAGGTAACATTCACTCTCAGTTAGCATCATCACTCAGTAGGCATAGCCTTTAAATCTATAAATTATATAACCTTGTTGTATTGTTATAGTTGTAGGCTATTGTCATCTAGTTCTGCATAAGCTTACTGTAAGTTTAAGTACCTAATCTTGTTTCATACTAAATACCAGGGCCGCTTTAATAAATTGGCCAGGCCAATGAGCACGAGAGGTTTTAGGTTTGTGGGGGGCGCAAGGAGGAGAACAACCCCCCACAAGGTAGGTAGAGGAGGAACACAATTACAGGGAGTTATGGAAATCACACTGATTTTACTAAGGGGCCAAGGAAACCTCTAAAAAGTAAAAAGTTTTTATTTTAAGGTCCCAAAAGTCACAGAAAAAATCGGGACTAAGCAAAATATAGCTTCCCAGACCTTTCTTTGGTTATGCTCATTGATGTAGGCAATAATTAAGTTAAATTCATACGCTAACTCAACTTAATTCGAAGAATAAGTGAGAGTGAATAGCCTAAAGCCTATTTTAGGAACAGGCAGCCAGCTTAAATCGTTACGACACAAAACTGTATAAGATACGCTAACTTATGCCCAGCTATCTTATGTTCAAGTCAATGAAAAATATTGTCTTATCGGTACCAACGGTCTTGTGTTTTAACTTTGCACCCTCCCCTAAAGTCACTGAATTTACTTTGATCAACTGGTAGACACCCTGAATTATTTCTTGGGGGCCTACAGAATACTGTATTTTTTACATAAGTTAATAACGTTTTCTTTTCAGCAAAACATTGTTCAATTAAGTAAAACGTTATCATGGTTACTTAGACATGGTGCACATAAGGAAAACCTACCCATATCATCTGATGGTTTCTTAGCCGTTGAGCATGTACTAAAGCACAAACAATTCAATGGGAAATGTTCTGTGAAGGATATAGAACATATTGTAATGTCAGATGCAAAGAAAAGATATACTTTGAGGACTGATGCAAATGGAAAACTTGAAGTAAAAGCTAACCAAGGACACTCGATGAAGGTAGGCTAGGCTATGTAATTTAAAATTTAGCATAGGCCATAACCTGCTGTAAACTTATTGAAACGCAATTTATTTAAATAGCCCTATTTAATTTGTAACATAGTGCGGGCCTATAATAGGATACCATAGTTACGCAGAGAACCTACGTTATATCATCGGATGAAATATTAGTTTGATAGCTCATAACTTAGCGTATCAGATCTTAGTTCGTACATAAAATTATATGTACAGTAACTTAAATATGAACATTTTAAAACCATAGGACCTCTTTAAAAGAGTGGTGGGCAGCCCTCTTCTTGAAAACCCCATAACAGAGAAACAATAGCCTATTTACATTCAATTTAATAATTAGGCCTATAAAATGTAAATTCCATCCATTAATATATTCAGGGTGTCCACAGAAATATTGTTATCAATTTCCCTGACTTTCCATGACTATCCATGACCATTAACCATTGATTTCCATGACCCACGAACTTAACTCAAAAATTATAATATACCGTACACACACGAATAATACTGCCTAGACAGGTTATTTCGCAGAAAATATTGAAATATGTATTAACAGATAACAATGGAGTACAACAGGTACAACAATGAACTAATACAAACTCAAAATCCATAAACTAAGACAACAGTATAAATTGAAATTGTCGTACATTTGTGAAAAATTCTGAAAAATGCTACAATAGTCGCGGTTACGGCCGACTATAGCATTGAAAGGTCCCCTGAAATCCATCCATCATTGGGGATTTCCATGACTTTCCATGACTTTTTGCCTATTTCCATGACTTTCAATGACCATAATTTTTTTCAATGACTTTCCATGACTATCCCTGACTTTCCAGAATGTGGACACCCTGTATATTGTAAGTTCTCTGCAAGACTGCACCTGTAGTATATACTCTGGTGCAGAATCTGTTGGTATGAAGTAGTGGATGGTGATGAAAGTATTTTTGTGGGGGTAGAATTTGAGTCAGTAGGCCAAGGCCAAACTTCGAATCTAATTGGGACTCCAGGACCCTTTTTGATTTACGGAACTGTTTGGATTAGTCGGAAATGCAACAAATTGCATTACAAAATATTTTGTTAAGTTTAAGGCTGTGGTTTCCTAGACGCGTATAAGATGCGCAGCGGTTTAGATGCGCTGCGGCTTTTATCCAGGTCCCAAAACGCAGCCGTCGTGAGTGGTTTCCTAGACTGCGTACAATACACACGGTTGGTACGTAACATAAGTTCAGATTTGACTGCTCTGAGAGCAGTCGGTGAAATACGCAGCTATTGGTGCGCGCACATTAGATACACAGCCTTGGAAACGGCTTACACGAAACTCCATAAGACAAGTGTGCTGCGTCTTAGATGCGCACATGCAGCGCATCTGTTAACCGTCTAGGAAACCACAGCCTAATGGCCATATATATGATAGTGAGATGTACGTGTCTTCTGCTACCATGGATAGCTGTGTTTACCTATCAAATAGCGGCAACATCCGTAATTGTCTCTCACAATCACATTTTTCTTACTAAACTTCTTAAACTACGGTCCTAAAATAGAACCATTAGACCGCCACTAATGAATTAAACTTTTTCCCCAACAGCTGGTTTGATAAGCTCGTAGCAGCTTTCTGTTGACTCTTGGCATGATATCTTAAAACTAATGCTTTTCGGAGTAATAGGGTCTAGTCTTCTCAAACAATGCACCAGTCAATATTCAAGAAATAACACTGTGTTAGGTTAAGATGTTTGTGTTGCTTTAAGTTTTAAGTTAGATTAGGCCAGGGTTTTTTTTAGTAACCTCTAGTACTATAAGTGCTGGTTTATGTTGATGTCGGAAAGGCTTTGGCAGGTGAGAATTTACGGTAGAATAAAATTTCCTACTTAAACCGGTATTTCGAGATTGTTATCCTTCAACAACGTATGTTTCCGATTTGTTAGTGTCCTAAATAACTTTTGTGTCTAAAAATGAATGTGAAAAGTTAGTTTCAATTTTTAAATTAAAAATATTTATTTAACAAAGAATCCTTCAGATTTCTGGGTTGAACAGTGTTTTCCAGGGTACAGTAATGTAAAACACCAATGTTACTGAAAAATTACTGTCCAATAAACATAGCCCAAGATTAGATAGACAATAGTAATACATCTATATTTTGTAATTTCTTCAAAAATTACACAATCCTTAAGGTTGCAGCATGGTTCTTCAACTGAGAAATCATTTTCATATGAAAATGATTTTATCATCATTTTATTTGATTATATATTATACAATTTTTACTAAATGTCTTATGTTCCAGATGGTATTAAGTTCTACAGATCTGCCAATGATGTAATTTTAAGTGAAGGTAACCCACAAGGATTCATCGAACCAAAATATTTTATGAAAATTGTTGAACTACCTACAGCAAAGGCCAAACATATTGCATAAAAATTCCTCAATTTTTTCATTAGATAGATAAGTACTTTAATAATTGATTAGAATAAAACTGGGAATGTTTCTACCTTAATTTCAATTTTTGTTATAAACATAATGTTATTTAGGTTTGAAGATTGCTATTTATCCTGAAGATCTTACAAAAATATACAATTGTACTATTAAAACTTGGTTAACTATACCCCAGTTTAGGGTTGTATTTCCGAATGGCAAATTTTAGGGGGCAGCAAAATGTTGGACAATATTCATCAAAAAGGAGGTTTTAATATAAAAAACAAATGTTGAGCAAATAGTTCTTAGAACTGCAAAAATGCTATTTTAATTACTTTGACTGAGAATAAAATGATTTCAGAACACATTAAAGTCAAAGTCGATAATTTATTATACGGCTTTGCCATGTTTTCTGTGTTGCCCTGCAATCTGGCATACATGTCACAGCTTGCGGGCGTGCGCTGCTGGCCGCTGGGTACGCGTAATATAGGCCTCCCTCGTCCTGCTCGTTCGTTACTACGCAGCGGCAGCGCATATGACACAGAACTAAGCTTAGAGAGAGAAGCTGGTGATCGATCTCATCACTTATCAGATGTTGAAGATAGCTTCTTTATGAGCGTGCACACCTTAATTCCTATATTGAAACTGTCAAGGCAAGATAAAATAAAATAAAAATAAAACCCCAGCGAAGATGAGAACACAAATTATATTAAACTCAAACATGATGCCAAATGTGCAAGTGAAAACCCTATACCGGTACGTTATTCTTTAAAGTACGATATTCCATGGATATATAATGCTTATAACACTTTTAGTCAGATCCACTTGCTTTTTTATACTTACTTTATCGTTTTGATTATTTAGTTTTCAAATAAAACATTTTTCCATTTTTGTAAATTAAAGTATTTATGAATGTATATCCGATTTAAAAGTTTTCAATGAAAAGCGTTATAAGAACCCTTGTATACGGATGTTTTTGTGTGCTGTTTAAAATTCGATAATGACATTGGATACAACAACGTTACATTTCATGTATGCAAAACAGAATCGTGTTTTGCATGAAAACGGCAAAACATAATCGTCTGTAAAAAAGGGTTCAAAATGTTATTAGATTTGTTGATGCAGCATGCAATTTATGATAACTTTTCTACCAAAATAGCTGGCAGGGCATGTATTGGGGTAATCCAAGGCCAAACTAAAAAACAGGCTGTAATGCTCGTCAAGCATGACGTCACGATAGAAGACGGCAATGACATTACTCTACGCTCAATTGAAAAAAAACAGGCTGTAATGCTCGTCAAGCATGACGTCACGATAGAAGACGGCAATGACGTAATGTTTGATATTTTTGTGACAGAGGGTATTTATTTTCCAAGGAAAGATTAAAACAAGCAGCTGATCGCAAACGGCAATAACGTCATTGCCATCTTCTATCGTGACGTCATGCTTGACGAGCATTACGGCCCGTTTTTTTAATGTGGCCTTGGGTAATCTTAGTGTAGTCGAGCACGTTGACGAGGTTGGGGGGAGTGTTTGGTGGCTAACTTCGCTGCCTAAAGGTGGCATATAGTTAAATTCGCCCTTGCCCTAGTTATTATTATTTAAGTAAGTTTTAAAAATAGAAATTAACTATACTTTATGTTAATGATAAAAAAAAAATTGTAAATTTTATTTTAAAACTATTTTTAATAAAAATTGAGTAAATCTAAATGTTGTGTTGAATTTACTTTTACCTAATGTACCGTACTGAATTTTCCATTCAAAACTTACTCTTTTAATGACTGAGATATTTAATTTCTTTAAGCAATAATTTAAAGGAATTCAAGGCAGAGTCTTTTCAACCTTTTCCAAGAGAAAATTTAATCAGGTATTAGAAATTTTTCGTTACATTTTTAATCCAAACTTTATGTTTCATATTTGAGTTGAAATTATTAGATAAGCCAATTGCTGAAGTATCCAAAATATCCAAAAAATCCAAAAGTAAAGTTTAAAAACTCGTTTGCTATTCAATGGCTACTGAATATTGTGTGTTGATATTATATGTCTGAACTTCCTCTAACTTTAGTACTCTGATCAAAGTTTTAATTTTTACGTTTGGTTTGAGGTAGTGGCATTTTCTTATAATAGATATTGAAACACTTTTAAGGGGAAGTGTTTCATGTTAAAAAAGCTTATTCCCTAAATGGGAAATTCGCTAAAAGCCAAACAACACATTAAAATTATAAAATCTAGGTCTTTGAGTAATGACCTCGAATGAGTAAGACTCATGTGGCCAAAGTTCAGGATGTGTAGTAGTTATCCATCTTAGGAGCAAACTATTATTCAACTCAGTTCTCATTCAACGACGCGGTCACTAGACCTAGATTTGACAACTGCTGTGTCCATGGAAGTCTTACCATCTAGATCAAGAAACATTTAAAATGTAAAAAAAAATAACAACACCAATGAATATGATATTTAAAACAAAACTTTTTTGTTAAGCCTAATGGTTTTTCATACTAGCCTGTCCAACCATTATTATAATAAAAACCTATGAATTTCAACTGACTATTCCGTTAAAACCATCAAAAATACAAACGCTCTTAACACACTCACTACAAAAGTCTGCAGACTACAAATGCAGTGGAATGTCATCGTTGATAGCGAATTTTCTTAATCTATTATCCATTCTTATCCAAAACACAGAAACATCACAAAACATCTTTTAGGTGTTCTTTACTCCAAAAGTGAAATAAACACAATTTGAATGGCTGTGGCTGAGGTAGCTACAGCTAACTAAACTGGCTGGGTAGCTGAGTGGTTATAGTGCTCGCCTAACAATCAAAAGGTTGCTGGATCGATCCTTAGAAAAGTCTGTAGCATTTTGATGGTTTGAAACAGCACCTATATTGTTCTTCACTTATATTGGCTTCAAATAAATGATCCTGGCTAATGAAACAGCTGATCTTAGTTTGCAACAAGGCATTTGGGTTTAAATACCGACCGAGGTGGCCCCCATCTCAATTGATAATGAAATAATAAAGTTGAGGGAAAGATAAGAAACTCCAAATTCATTAAAATAAACGTTTATTAAGGTGATAGAAAACTATATTGTATATTAAATAATTTAAATAGATTATACACATAGGCCTATTATAAAAAATACTGCTAAGTAGAAGAGTGCTCTACTTCTTCCTTTGGAAATATTGAACCTGTCTTGAAATGTGATATTGGAGTAAAAGGTGGGGTTTGACTCTGGGTTGACATAGGTGATTCTGACTTCTTCTGGAACAATATTAATAGTATTCAATGTTCATAAAAATAAAACATCGTGGTCTATGCCAGTATGAATTTTGGTAATGCCACCAAAGAAAGGCAATCTATCATCAAACACAAAAGAAATGGATTAGAGAACACTTTATGTGGGATGCAGTTTTTTCCACTAAGCTGTAGTTTAAGTATTAGTTTCTATGAGTAGCCTACTAGTTCTAATATTATGTATTTTAGTAAGTCGTAAAGGCAATCTACTCACAAAAAATAGAGGTTTGAGCATAGTCTTGAGACGCCCTTCAGCAGAACTGGCTAGGGAGACTTCTGCTTGGTCCACGACTGGTTCTAATGCTTCCACGTCCCTCAATACTCGTTGGCTGAGCTCGTCCAGCTTGTGGACCTGATGACACGTAAAAACATGTCAATTCAATCAAACCCTTTTATTGTGTGTATATCTACACTATAGGCATTTTGAACCTTTTTTCAAAGGGAGCAGTTACAACCCAGTCAACGTCAACCTTTTTGTTAGATAGCATTGTTAATTGATGACCCAATAACAAATGGCATCTAGGTCTTAGAAATCGCTTTGAACCAAAACAGCAGCCTTCAGATTTGAAGGAAAGCTCTACAGCAGCTACACAGATAATATAATTAATAAACCAGAAAGCTTTATATAAAATTCCGATGCTGTTATTTTGTAGAGACAATTCACAAAAAAAAAAAAGATTTAGCCTTCATTTTTAAAACTGAGGAATAAAATTGTTCAAATAAACTGGCTCTGTTTGTGACTCATTGCAGCAGTTGGCACATTTTGATATTTCCAAAATCACAACTTAAATCATGGTGTACAGAAGTCACTGATTTTTCCTAGAAGAGCATGAAAGTCACTTAAATGGCACAATCTTCATAGATATCAATTAATTTTTTTTCATTCAATTAAATTAGAAGCAGGTAGGCTTATTGGAAAGACATGCAGTAATACGAGTTACATATTTAGTCAAGAAATTAACAAACAAAATATTGGCAGGGTAGGGTTTGATTTATAGTCAATATTTTATGTAGACCTAAGAAGTGTTTTGGTTCACTTAAAATACTAAAGTGTCAGAAATTTCATAACATTTTCTTTACTCTCCAGAATAACAACACATATAACAGATTGATTCTTTCCGGCAAAAGGTCAAAACCTTAATGGATTATTTCTAAAAGAAATAATAGAGACATAGTGAATATTATTAATTCATTGATTCATAATTAATTATAGGTAGTTCAAATTTACAATCAAACCGATGAAGATTATTCATATATAAAATTGCTATTCATAACTAATTAATAGTACAAAGGCAAAGGGGTGAAACTGGTACCGGTAGATTGAGCATGTAAAATGCTTGGCCCATTAACTTTGAATCTATAGATTAGAAATATGTATCCAATCTACATGTATATGTATAATGAAATAACATCTCCTCACTTAACCCTAGAAAGGTATTGTCATACAATATATAACGCTAAGGGTATCAATATGTAAATTTGATAGCCTACACATAGAAATTGTATACAGTAAGGTATTCAGGCCCGTTTGTGACCCTGTCAGCGTATTATTGGTGTTATGCTAAAAATAACTCCTATGTCAAATTTATGTAATATACCCGACCAGGATTAATTAGTACCTAAACATTTTAATTAAGTTTCATACCTTTTGACATAATGTGCTAAGACCACTTTGAGCAGCTGTCAAATCACACACTCTAACCCGTTCTCTTTCAGCCTGAAGCTGTAAATGCACACAGTGAATTAAATAAAAGTATATAAAATAAGTACTCTACAGTGAACATATAACATTTGTGATGTGGAAAGCGAATAGGGACCTCATGTCGGGAATTTTCGATTTTGAGTTATGTAGGCCTACAGGGTGGGGCAGAGTGGACTCCCTGATTTGATCGGTCAACTGTATAAAAACCATACAAGATTATTGCAAAAGCTTTTTATTTCTGAAATCTAAATACAATGCCATTTATTTTTCATTAAGTTTTAAAAATGATATCGTCCAGGTGACGACCTTGACGAGCGATGCACATATTCAGCCGTTCAATGAAGTTTTCAAAAACTCTACGCAGCATATCTGGCGTTATTCGAGTGATAACATCAACAATTGCTTCCTTAAGGGCTTCCAAGGTCCTTGGTTGAACTTTGTAAACCTCAGATTTGAGGTAACCCCAAAGAAAATAATCGCATGGGCTTAGATCGGAGGAGCGAGCGGGCCATGAAACATCCCCTCGTAATGAGATCAAGCGGTCGGGAAACCGTTCTTGCAGAAGTTGGCGAGAGCGATGGGCGGTATGAGCCGTGGCACCATCCTGTTGAAACCAAAAGGCTTCCATATTATATTCCTCACCATACTCTTCAATTCTGGGCAAGAAAAAGTTCTCCAACATCTGACAATAGCGCACAGCGTTCACAGTAACGGTTGCACCTTCCGATTCAAAAAAGTAGGGGCCAATTATGCCTTTGGAGGACACAGCACACCACACAGTCACTTTTGGAGAATGAAGAGGTTTTTGGTGAAGAGTTCGTGGGTTTTCAGCTGCCCAGTAACGAAAATTTTGTTTATTTACTGTGCCCGAGAGGTGAAAATGTGCCTCATCACTAGACCACAGAATAGTGCCGGGTTGTAAAGAAGCCAGTATTGCATTGCAAGCATCTGTACGTTTAACAAAATCTGCTGGCATCAATTCTTGAACAACCATCATCTTATACAGGTCTGAGTGTAAAATTCGCCTCAACGTTCTGGCCGACATTTTAAGAGCAGCAGCATGTTTCCGCGCAGGGCGCAATGGAGATTGTTCAATAGACGCTCTCACCGCCATTATGTTCTCTGGTGTCCTCACACTCTTTGGTTTTCCGACTGGTTTTCTAGTGCAGATCCGGTCGCCCGTACACTTGTAATCCATTTCCATATGGTTTTAGCATCGGGAACACTATCATGACGATTCAAACCAAACCGTCTACGAAATGCACGCTGGGTCGCCACAACACTATCCTTATTTTTAAAAAACGTTTCCAGGGCCGGACTTACCTATGGGCGGAGGGGGCGAGTGCCCGGGGCCCCCGGGCCAAGGGGGGCCCCCTTGCACAGTAGTTTTTATTAATAACTTCGAAAATTAATCAGACACTTACCAAATGGCCTTCTTTTGTAACAGCTTTATTTTTATTTTCGTTATCCTATATTTATGGTTATTGTTAGGTGCATTTTAAGGCATTTCTAGGAAAGAAATTCTTTACCCTAAGGGACTTTTCCTCAGAGTTGCATTGGGCCCCACGCTTAGGCCTGGATTACACGAGCATATGTGTTAGGCTGTGACTGTGACGGACAAGTTTCAGTTTCAATGAAGCCGCTCGCCCGAACGTACGGCCGCGGCGAATGAGTTGAAGGGACTATCTTCAAGGGTTACAAGGGTTGCGCTTGGGGCAAAAATACAATAAATTGTTTGTAAAATTGTGTTGTGTTAAATGGAGATTCACAATTGTACTGCAAACTAACAGTACAAAAACAAAGCTGAAGTGAGTAATGTTGTATTCAATGCTATGTTTGTGTTGTATTAATCAATATTGGATCAATATTATTAGACTTTTATTGCAAGATTTTGCTCGTTGATAAGAAACTCAAACTTGAAAGTCCTCAATGGTACTTTTAATGCTAGGACTTTAAAAATATTATAAAAACGAGAATGCCATAGGTACCAAAACCATTACGGAAATAAACATAAGTCATATTTTATATTTTATGGTTTTTTACGAAAAACAAAAATCTCTACAACCCAACAGTTGTGTTTTAGAGTTAATGAATTTTAATGAAAAACCTAGTTCCAAGCCTATTTTAATTGTATTGGTGTTGATACGTAGGCTAATTGAAAACAGAAAATGTTATGTATATAAGTTAATATACATTAAAACTATATACACATGAATGAGCAACGTTTACTACTTCAACAATTAAAAACCACGCTATATGTCTCTAACGAGGTGGCTAAATCGTGGCAAAAAACAAAAGATTTTAAAATTCAAATTAGTTTGATTTTTATTATTAGAAAAAGAGTTTTAAACCTAAATAAAATAATCACACCTATATTGTAGTAATATTGAAAAATCATACAAATCGACAGCAATAATGGATAATTTAAATACTTAATAAACAAAAATATATCAATACTTCTAATCCAAATATATTATGGTGGCCTACCATGCTACCATACCAAATATGCCGTAATTGGTACTACAAAGCAATTGAAACATTTGGTCAGAGTTTGTTTAAATAGTGAATGCAAGTGATTAGGTTTCAAACGTTTTTATTTTTTGTGTATAAAATTAAAAGATGCTGTATATAAAATATGTTAAAATAGTTATATTTTAAAACGATTTTTGATATAGAACTTATTGCTTATTTGGCCTTAAACTGCTCTATTTGAAGCCTAAATTCAGAAGTTTTTCCCGGGGAGGACCCCCCACCCAAACTGAAATCCTAGGGCCCCATTGGGAAATTCGCCCGGGGCCCCTGAAGTCCTAAGTCCGGCCCTGAACGTTTCGACTACAAAACCACGATGCTCGCCAGTCCACCGCATGGTGACTACCAACAATCAACAATGGCATCTTTCCCCCCACCACATGAAACCTCTCCCACTCCGCTAACTCGCGTACACGCTCTTCAGCGACTGATTGAAACTAGGGAGTCCACTCTGCCCCACCCTGTATATATTTAAATTCCTGATTAAATTCCAAATCGATTGGTGCAAGTTCCACGCATAGGCTATATTAATTTTTTTGTTAAAGGTATAGGACTTTTAAATTTTGTTATGGAAAAGGATCATTTTGAGAAAAACTGTTTTGAAAATGTCAAATACGCATAAAAACGGTGTTTATTGTATTTAAGAAACAATTTTGGTATCAAAAGAAAGCTTAGGCTATAATGTCCTCTTTGAAAGAAATACAAATTTATTTCTTAACTCGCAATAGTTTTCATTTAAATAATTGTTTTATTGAAGCATGTCGTAAAAATAGCTTTCAGAAAAGGGACCTCTTGTCAGTCCTATGTTATTTCGCCATTAGATAAGAAAAGGAACCTCTAGTCAGGGCCGCAAAAGTTGTGAGATATTTTGTTCGTCGTGAACTGAACTTTGTTGTAGTTCTCTAAATGTCCACTAGAATGCAGTTGACAATTCATTTTTTGGACTAAAATCTGTTTAAAAAGGGAATATTAGAAAATGGGACCTCTTGTCGTTATGGCAAAATAATATTGAGCGACAAGAGGTAGCCTACCTTTTCTCAGACCGTGCAGAGGCTAAGAAAATGATTTATTTTGACCTTTTGCATCTTCAATTTGAGATTTTAACCGATACTGTCATGTTCTATATTAAATAAGATATAACAATCGATAAAAACCCGAAATTTGATATTTTTGACCTTTATTACTTATATCCGCCGTACTGAAAATTTTGCATCTCCGACAAGAGGTCCCTTTTTGCTTTCCACATCACTTTTTTTTTTATATGGTCATAATTTATAGTAAACTAACAAATATTTCAATAATAGACAGCAATTTCTTTAGATGAGTTAAAATATTCACAACTCTAAAGAAGGAATTAGAATCAGAATTTATATTGCTGATTCCACAAAGCTCCTCGCTACTTACTGGCATAATTTGTGAACAGAATGACGCAATTTGTAGCTGACATTAATTATTAATTTATTTTTTGCTGTATTTAAAAAACAAATTAAAACTATCGAATCTCCCACTGCGTGCGAGATAAGGTCAGTGATAAGCTTTATACCAGAAGAAACATATCCGATGCTGACATTCATCATCAGATGACTTACGTTTATAACCCTGATGCAATGATAGAGGGGAAATTGCAGACATAGGCTAGGGAGTTAAAAAGTGGACCTGAAACAGTTCATTTTGGAGGGAATTGTGTTTTTGGTAAGTACCCAGACTTCTCAAAGATGACCAAAAATAAGGAATGGATTTCACGGTAAGTTAATTTTTACACTTCATAACACATTTCCGCACTTACCCTCACTCTTTGCATTAGGTCCATAGTCTTCAGTCATCTGGCGATGAATGTCTGCAAAAAACTTATCACTGATCATCTTGCTTGTGGCGAGATTCAACAATAAAAATAATTTAAAAAACGCACAGCAAAGCCTATGTGTCAGCTACAGAGCTGCAAATGGTGTCATTTAGATCAAAAATGATTCCAGTAAGTTGCAAGGAGCCTTGTTGTGCCGTACTACAGATTTATACGCAAAAATCGCTCTTACTTAAAAAACCACCCTCATAGAATGAGAAAGTGATTTAAAATGACAGATGCAAATGGACAGTGGCTGGTTTTAAAGGTAAGGAGAACGAGATAGTGGAATGCATGGGTCAAATTTAGCAAAATTTTGAGATTATTATTTTATTAGACTTCCTTACCATTTTTATACCACTTTCCAACTCTTCTAACCTTGTTAATGTTTCTTCTATAGATTCTTCAAGCTTTTCCATCTGTAACGATAGTTTTGATTAGGTATTTTTACAAAAGCCTGTGTTGTATCATGCAGTTTTAAGAGTAGTAAAACTTAACTTAGGGCCTACGTTAAATAAGTTCTTTTTAATATCCAAAGAGGTTTCAGACTTAGGGCCTAAGTTACCATTAAGAAATACGTTAGAAATTTCAACTTAGTGAGGAGAGGCTTTTAGTTTATTTTGATTTGGGGATGTCAAGCGAATCGACAGAATAAAATCATCACTTGATACCAACCAAATAAGTTTCTTGGTCTTTGGAGGGTAGCTGTCATCTTGGATGATTTCAAACAGCTGCTGAAGAGTTATTTATCATCCAAAAATATTTGTTCAAACACCAAAGTGATTAGTAAAGCTTAGAAATGTTCTTTGTAACTTAGTTTTGATTTGTTCTCCAAGGGAGTCCATGGAAGCTAACGTCCATCTTGGATTTTTCCGTCATAAGAGTAATATTAATTTTGTTAATTTCAAACAGTCGCTGAAGAGTTATTTACCATTTTAAAATATTTTTTAAACACAAGAGCGATTGTAATTTAACTATCTAAGTTAGTAAACTGTGAGATTAGACATTTTCTTTGTGGTTTTTTTAATGTTTTACGTACAAGTTAGAGCGTCTAGGCTCCAAGGACTCTTTTTATTAGGCTCTAAGTTAAGCTAACTTATATAGGCCTATTTAGAGAATCAACATGACAACTTAACAACCCTGTAGCGTAGGTCCTGACTTAGGTATACTCTGGAGAAATCATTAGGATAGTAATTAAGAATATTAACAAAATAATAGCCTAACTTATTGTTCTAAATATCTTTTGGGGTTATAGAAAGAGACATAGGGTATCCTGGGGATAGCCAACACTTGTAAACAAGTTTTAATGGTTGGTTAAATGTTCAATATTTTACATGCAATGTAAAAAGCTGATAAACAAGTAACTTAAGTAAACTTATGCAGAGGATACCTGTCCGGTAACCAAATTTGGATTAGGCGTCCGGCAGTGACGTCACCAGGTTGTGGGGGCCCGGAACACCATTACCACAACGATACGATGTAGGGCTATAGGTGTTAGTGGTGATTAGGGGTGTAGTGGATAGGGGACTCGGCTGATGTACAAGAGGTATCTAGATCGAATCCCATGGGTGACACCAACATTTTGTCAAAGATTTTGCTTAGAGTGCCATTTCTTCTTACCCCTATGCTAGGCCTATCTTTTGTTAGAATTTGAGTCATTTATAATTTTATTTTATGAACAGAATTTATTCTTCATTCGATTTTTTCATTATCCCTCCAAATGTCCATAGTTTAGGCCTTAATGTCCACCTATTTTTGGCGCATTTGCAAGGTTTTATTAAAACGGATCTGAGAAGCTTAAAACAATGTTAATTCTAATGTTCTATATACCATTTTGTTTGGAAAATCATGGGCTTCAATATTATATATAAAACATAAGGAACATTTTTTCAAAAAAAATTTTTAGGTAAAAAAAATATAATTTCGAAAATTTTCAAAAAAAAAAAATAAGTTCGCGCTCAATGAAATTGTATAAATTATAGGCCTATAAATATTTGAAAATAGCCACTTTGTTCTAAATTTTATGAGGATTACAAATATATAATAATATAAGGAAGTAGATTTGCAAATAAATAAGTTATGGGCAAAAAACTGATTTCAGTACATAGCGTTTAGCTAAGAATGCATAGCCTAACCATAGCTAGGAATCTGGCTGATAATTTACATCAATATCACCACCTACTTCTTCAGGATCATCAACCAGCACTTCAAAACCACTTAAATCTTCTTATAATGCACCACGTATATCACTACTTTTGATTTTTAACACTAAAACAATGATAAACGTAATAAAACACATCAGTCATCGGTCCGGGGGAACCTAGCTGTTTACAAATACACGCACGTCAGCTGTCTGCTACAATATTTTCGGAACTAAAATGAATAGCGCTTAGAGACAGACCTCTGGAGAAAGCTTAGAATATTACGGAAAGAACGATACCTAACTCGATCCAGTTCAATCCGATTCAGTCAGTCATAGAGCCTTCGCCGTAAACGATGTCTGCGTGTCGAAAAATCGACAAGTAACACTACACAAAGTGTGCTGCTTGTCGAATTTTCGTCAAGTAACACTGGGAGGGTTATTAACTTAGCAAGTTTGGTTAGTTAGGTTAGGTTATGACAGTAACTGCCGGACGCCTAATCCAGGCCTGGTTACCGGACGCGTATCCTCTGCCAATAACTTATACTAAAGCTAAGGCTAATGAACATTAAGAGTAAACAAAAACTTTTTTTACATTTTTTTTGCTTGGAGCGATTGCAGCGATAGTAGTTGGGCACTGTTCAAACGGAGTTTGCGTAGTCCTGTTTTGCTTAGAGCCACTGTCGCAAGTGTCGCTAGCTACAGTCGCGGACCACTGCCCTGGGTACCAGTCTTGCGATAATCGTGCCGCGACTGATGCACAGCGACACATGCGCAGAACCTCAAAACAGTGCAGTTCACTCAGTAGGCACATTAATATTAGGGGTTAAAATAACCATAGGGCTAACTTACTTTTTCCCTGTGCGACTATCGCAACAGTCGCCCCAAGCAAAATGGGCCTTAAGGCTTTAAGAAAATCTTTGGTTTAAAATTTTAATAAACTAAAGTTTTGTAAAACATCTATTCATTGAAGTGCTGAGTAAATAATAAATTAGTTAACATAAAATTGCTAAATGCCTATATAATATGTTATCCTGTGTTATGGTAATCCCAGATACTTACATGACTTTGATTGTCGACTTTTACAAAAGAAGAGTAAGACACTGCTAGTTTTCTTGCAAATTCTTCATTTTCCATTTTAAAATATTGTAAAGCAATACGAAAATAAAAAATGAGACGCCAAGTAATCTCTAAATAAAGGTTTACACCAGTAACGTAACTAACCAACGATCTAACCTAAACGATCAAAACAAACAACGAATGAAAGTAAATGAATGACTGTTTGTTACTGACAACAAGATAATGACAAAAAAAGACATGGGTGACACTCACTACAAACAGACCACGGGAATCGGGATAGACCACTGAGCTAAAATTATAATTTACTAGCTGTAACCCGCGGGCTTTGCCCCGTTTAACTTCTTAATTTTCAAGATTATCTCGTTCGCATGGCTCAATCACGTCCTGGTTGAAGTTTGTTCGCTACGCTCACTCACCTTTAGGTTGGAGCTCGTTCGCTACGCTCACTCACCTTTAGGTTGGAGCTTGTTCGCTACGCTAACTCGCCTCCAGGTTGAAGTTCGTTCGCTACGCTCACTCACCTTTTGGTTGCAAATTAGCTTTTGTCATAAATGTAAAAGAAATAATAGTGCTGCACCCTGTTGGTAATCCTTGTAACTTTAATGCTATTGAACATAATAGAACAGAACCAACTTGTCTAATTGAAACAGCTGTTAAGATTCAATAATTCCATTTCTCATAAGGTTATCATGGGAAACTCCGGAGCCACTGGGGTGGAGCCCGAAAGGATTTTTGAAATAAGAATATGCCTATATGTTAATCGGGAATGTGAGCTATCATCATGCCAAATTTCAGCCCAATCCGACCAGTATTTTTCGCGTTCACTTGTCACAAACATACATCCATACATCCATACATCCAAACTTTCTCATTTATAATATTAGTAGGATATTATAGCTCAAGCAGTCTGTGGGGTGGTGGGGTATATACAGGGTGTATATAAAGTCCCGCACGGGCTTAATATTTTCCAAACGACAACAGATAAATCAATAAGATTTGGTACATCAACACCACACCTAAAAATCTACTTTTTCAAGGAACTATGAATTTTCTGTCATATCATGGGGACGTCCCGCAAGAAGTCAGAAGGAAATCTTAAATAGAAGCATAGGTTGACATGTACATCAAATTAAAGACCTCTACTAGCAGAGTACAATGCCGCAAATTTGAACTCAAACGGACAACCGAGCCAAGAATGTTCAAATATTCATTAATTTGCATTGCTATTATACGCTTACTCCTCGGGGGCCCGAGTAAGCCCTAGGAATCGAAAGAAAACTGTTAACGTAAGCATAGGTCGATATGTACATCAAATTAAAGTTTTTCACTAGTAGATTACAGTGCCGTAAATTCAAGCTCAAAAGAACGCCTGAGTAAAAAGTGGCAGTCGTTCAAAGATTCAAAATGGCCGATTCAAGAAATCTTTGAACGGCCGCCATTTTGTAACGGGTGATCCTTTTGAGGCGCGGTTTCCGGCATTGAATTCTGCTAGCTAAGCCCTTTAAACTGATGTGCATATTGACCTATGCTCCTGTTTAAGATTTCCTTCTGACTCCTTGCGGGACGTCCCCATGATATGACAGAAAATTCATAGTTCCTTGTAGATTTTTAGGTGTGGTGTTGATGTACCAAATCTTATTGATTTATCTGTTGTCGTCTAGAAAATATTAAGCCCGGTCGGGACTTTATATACACCCTGTATAGTCAATGAGTCCATAAAATTAGATCAGGTTTACCACAATATTATATACCAAGGCTCTTACTTGAAATCTTCTACTCGTGTCGTTAACATTATCTTTACGCGATTTTTGCGTAGACTACTATTTTAACCAAGACCAGCTGCTTTATTTATTTATTTGTACGGCAAACACCATTTTTACAATAATTTTACATTGTGATACACGCGACAAGATGCTTATTACATGCTCATGCTGTTAAATGTTGTGAAGATAATATAAATACAGTGATACATGCAAAGATTGTGTTCAATGAAAATGACGTGCAGTTGTAATAACAATATGAAGGGTGATAGTTGAATTAACTAGTTTAGGTAAACCTGATAATTAAGTAACATGCTCGGCGAATAATAGACTATAACTAGGTAACAATAACAATTAAATATAAAATATTCTTGGCGATAAATAATCTATAACAATAATAATTGGCAACAATACTGGCAATGGTGATAGATGCAATATGGAAACGAGTAAATAGTGATAACAATAACAGACTAGAAATAAATAACAGTGATAATGAATAAGTATAGGCAACAGTCATAAAATTTATAAAATATAACAAAGTGAGATTCTGATGCAAACAGCAGATAAATCGAAACGCAGAGGATACACGTCCGGTAACCGAAGGTGGATTTGGCGTCCGGCAGTGACGTCACCGGGTTGTGGGGGCCCGTAACACCATTACCACAACGATACGATGTACAACCATCGGTGTTCGTGGTGTATTGGATAGAGAAATCGGCACGAATACTAGAAAAATACCGGTATGGATCATAAACATAAACAAATTACGTTTTTGGTCCGAAAATAAACATTATTTTACATTGCTTGGAACTGCCAAAACACATGTTCAATGCTATAAGATTTGGGACAACAAATGTCATTTGTTTATGTTTATGATCCATACCGTGGAAATCGGCTGATGTACAAGAGGTATCCAGATCGAATCCCATCGGTGACATTAAATTTTTGTCAAAGATTTTGCTTAGAATGCCATTTCTACTTAACTTTACATCTTTTGTTAGAATTTGAGGCGTTTAAAATTTTATTTTATTAACAGAATTTAACCTTCATTCGATTTTTTTACTATCGGCAAGTTTGCTTAGTTAGGTTAGGTTATGTCAGTAACTGCCGGACGCCTAATCCACGTCTGGTTACCAGACGCGTATCCTTTGCCAAATCGAAAACACTCCCCACAGTGTGGTTGTGACCCTTAAGGCACCATCAATAACAAAACACAACACCGTTTCATGACTAGAACACTAGCGACGAGCAAAGTCACTTTAGTGGAGTTCTTCATTCTGCATAGACAACGCACAAACGTTCATCAAATGTCCAATGATCGATGATGGTTGATGTTTGATACGTTTTATGTTTTAGAAAGGCTTATAGTCTTTAATCGACTCGGGGTCAAACTGAAAAACTTAGAACAAACATCATTGACCAATAAAACTGAGTTGGAAACGACCAAGCTTAAATTCGGGCCAGGCTCAAAATTAAGTCACTTGATAAATATTTCCTCCTTCTTATGTCCTATAGCCTAGACTAGAATTATTAACTCGTATTCTGTATTCAATAATTTGGATAGTGAAGTTTAACTAAAGAATACACACAATGGTTCTAGAATAGTTAATTGCAATTGGTACAATGGTCAATTGCATAGAAGTTGTTAAAACATAACTATCTATATTTTAAAACTTTATATATTGTACACCTCTATGGCCTTTTTAGATTCCTACTCAACCTCGATAAAGTGAAACAATTTACAAGAGAGATTTATAACGACGGTATCAAGTCTATTCCAGCGAGAAGGAAACTCAATCAAACTTTCATTTGCTAACATGAGCTGGAGTTGATATTGGACAAGTTTGTACCATTACAGTGTGACTAAAGACTTTCAACTAAAATGTTACGTCACGATATAATCTAGTTTCTTTGTAGCTTTGATTACTTTTGTAATTACTCATGAAATACGAACATAATTTTGAGTATGGGTTTAGATTTGAATTTGTCAACGAATGTTTCACGGATGTTCAACAAGAATAAAAATGAAATGTATTTGTGGCATTTTTTAAAAGTTTTGTATTGAAAGTTTGTCACCAAATATTACATGTCAATGTGATATGAATGACAATAAGCAACTTTTAGATATTGAAAAAATGTTTAATAGATAACGTCATTTCAGTTACCACCCCTCCCATAAAGGTTTTTACGGGTAATCGATATTCTCGGTCAATTATTCAACAAATTAACTGATACTAAATCTTTTCAAATAGTCCAAGTAAAAGTCTACAGTCTTCTTTACATGAGTAAAAAGTACTTTACGTGAGTTAAAACAAACATAACCTAAAATAAATGTCAAAGGCTGCTAATGATTAATTGTATACAGCAGCGAAGCCAGGAATTTCTTTTGGGGGGCAAACCGGGGGTCTGAGGGGTTACCCCAGGGGTCGAGGGGGTCCGGGGACTTCACTAGAGCTTTTTGTATTTTAAGGTGCTAAAATTCAGTATACAACACCCCTGAAGCCTCTAAAGTTGAGAATAGTGTCGGAATAATAACACTTATAATGTATAGTCCATCTGACCGGAAATGATTGATTGGCGAAGGGAGAAAAGTGGGAATGGGTCAGCTGGTTGGTGTTACTGTTGTCTTAATCAGCTGATGACCAAGAGATAACTTTTTTGGCCCTAATTTTAATTTCCACTAAATCTCGTTCAGTTTCCTCATGTGTTATTATTTGTATAGTAAAATCCATAACAACATTTCATTACTTTTAAAAATTTTACACCAGGCAAATGCCTCTTTGGACCTTCTCCACCAACAGATTTTCTATAGGCAGTTTTTTGATGATTTTTGATAAGTTTTAGGAATTAACTGGGCTATAATTTGTTGAAAGTTTCTTTTCAGTTGTTCCAACAATGTTTCGCGTGTGTGATGTGCTGGTTGATCACCACATAATTCAAGCACCCTGTCAACTAAAATACCTATATATATAATAGCTCGTTTCATTAGAGAAGATTTGTTTGAAAAATCTGCCTCAACAGCCTGCTGTTGACCCACTCTGAATACCCACTCTGAATGAATTCTTTGCTAGCCTTGATCTATGCGTGTTAGTTCTTAGGATAACTTACTTTTGCAAAAATGTTAGCACAAATCCTTATGCAAAATGAGATAAAGGGAAGCAAACGAAAGTCCTAAAGTCTGTGAATCTCTAATGATTCCTGTTTCATTAGATTTCTTTACAATGTAGAAAGCTTTTTGCTCAGTTGGACGATTAAATTTACTATATACTCCTCTCTAAAATTCCTTTAAGTTTGTGCGGATTATAAATCTATAAAAACCCTAAACAATTTAAACACATTGAACAGTGTTTGTACTATCCATCTAGTAAATAGGTCCTTATAAATTACAAACCGGCAACAATGAGGTGTTAAATTGTCAGTGTT